TTCGTACAGTGGACAGAGCTTGGCAACTCTAAGATTCGAAGGCCTTGAGCTGCGCTCATTGAGCGCCCCTGTGATCGAATTGAACGACTAATTAATGCAGAGCGTGAGTCAGGGCAAACTGCATTGGCAGGTTGTTCTCGGCACCCGTTGTTTTGTCACGGTTCGTGACGGAACAACAAGAGGCAAAAAAGAAGACACTGCACAATTTTCCCCTGTGATTGTCCACGTTATGCATCTCGTTCCCCGTGAATGCTCAATGAACATCGCCCGTAGTCCTTATGATGAAGACCAGTTAGTTTGTATCCCAAGATGTAGCAGCTCGACTCGGATAAATATTGTAGACTGAAGGCCGTAGTTTGTGGCTGGCCTCCCTTCAAGACCTCACGTGTCATCGGGAGAAGAACTCGTGTTCTGATTTGATTAGCCGAGGGGGGAACGCTCCTATCGGGCCGTCCCTAGGGAGGACGGCCGAATGAGGAACATCTCCCAGGAATCCAGCATCCAGCACCAACCCTCTGTATCACAGAGTCTGTGATGAGTACAACGGTGAAGTGGCTTGCCCGGCACGCACACACCTAGTTATTTCACGCAGCGAAGTACTTTTGATTTCCCACAAAAGTCTACACAATAAGTGTAACGCTTAAGACTTGTGATTCACAAGTTGTGAACCCGACTGTCGGGTTTCACTTCGTAATGTAAACTTTGTCGGGTTCCGAAAAGGTTGACATTACTGCTTGGATTACTGTTGTGCTTCTGAATCAGTAATTACTATTTGTATCAATACGCAGTACTATACTATCCTTTGATGGCTCCGAGCCATTGGCTCATCAATGGTTGATGTTGCCTGTTGTGTTATTCGTCTCGAGTACGTCGTACTCAGTACGATGGTACCCGTATCACAGTCCACGAATTTCGACGCCTCAATGCGCATTCTCGCCGGTCTCATCATCGCTATCGCCGTTAACGCCATCCTCAACTCTAAACCGTCTGGTAACTATTGCGGTTCCCCGGTTATCCCCTCAAAGGGTAAAGGTTTCGTCCAGATCAATGTAACAAGCGATACCGCCTTCAACATTTCGGCCTCGTGGACTCCCACTGGTGGTTCGAAGAAAAGCGGCAGTGAGACCGGCGTGCCCTATTCGTACGATGACTCGACACAGGATGTGACCGTCACGGATACGAGCAAGCTGCAGGATCTGATCACCAAAATAGACGCTCCTCTGAAGGCCTCTGATCTCGCTCATCTACACTATGATGGCAAGGATCTGCATGTCGTTGCTCTCCTTAACTTCCCCCTGGAACCATGTTAGCTCATGTCAGTGACTCAGCTCTCGTTGAGATCTTTGGGAGTCTCATCATAAGACTCAGGCAGGCGCCAGTGTAAAGGCTGTGTCTCGAGCACTGCTCCTTGTAGAAGTCTCGTTGTTTTCACCAACTTCGATCTCTTTCTCGCTATGATTTTTCGCCGATGAGTTTCGCGGATGGGCTGTTAATGATATCACATTATCTGATCTACTGCAGCACAAGATTGATTATGGCGATGAAATCCCTAGCTCAGTCTACACGGTTCTTGACATGAAGCCTCGAGTCTTAATGTCAACATAGCGACTATTTCAAGTTCAGTCGTTAGTTTAGTTTGTTAGTTCTCAACACGATACCTGTTTGACTCTTTTATCTTTAGAACAAAGCAAGGAACAGCTCTTGTGCGCAGATCACACTGAGCAAAAAAAGGCAAACTTAGTGGTCATTGGAGACACTTGGTGACACTGAAGATGATAGCTGGTTCGATAATCATGGGTGGGTTGCTCC